TGGGAGAGGAGAAACAGGCTTCACTCAACCGACTGAGCCACCCAGGCACCCCGTAAAGCATGTATCTAGTAGGGCATCTGAGATGGGCCGTCAGGACAATAGTGGTGAGAGAAGTCAGTACAGCCCTTTACGTATTCACAAAGAGAAAGGCTCTTTTTTTTTCTTATGATCATTTATTTATTTGAGAGAGAGAGGGCACACAAGAGGGTCAGAGGGAGAAGCAGACTCCCTGCTGAGCAGGGAGCCCGATGTGGGACTCGATCCTGGGACTCCAGGATCATGACCCGAGCCAAAGGCAGTCGCTTAACCAACTGAGCCACGCAGGCGCCCTCTTTTTTTTTTCTTATGATCATTTATTTATTTGAGAGAGAGAGGGCACACAAGCACGGGGGAGGAGCAGAGGGAGAGGGAGAGGGAGAAGCAGGCTCCCCACTGAGCAGAGGGAGCCCGATGCAGGGCTCGGTCCCAGGACCCCGGGATCATGACCTCAGCTGAAGGCAGCCGCCTAACCGACTGAGCCACCCAGGTGCCCCGAGAAAAACTGCCCTTGGTATCCAAGATCTAGATTGGCACCAACAGCTGGGCCGATATGTTCTTCTATCAAATATAGTTTGACAGACCATCAACATCAAATGCATGACTGTAATGAATTAAGACAAAACAAGACCACTCAGTACTCATGTTTGAACACATATGCCAAATGATCACTATGAGTCCTTTGCCAGTTACAGCCTGAACTTCACTTTGTTTCTCCCACTTGCTGGGTAAGACAAACTACAGACTTGCTGGCCAAATCTTTTTTTTGGCCGTTCTCATACAGACTTTCAGCTAAGAATGGTTTTAATGTTTTTAAAAGGTTTTTTTGTTTTTGCTTTTTTTTTTTTTTTTTGAAAACAAAGAAGAATATGTGAGAGAGACCATATGTAGCCTGCAGAGCCTAAAATATTTTCCATCTGGCCATTTACAGAAAAAGTTTGTCAATCTCTATCCTAGAGAAAATCAGGATACCCAATGATAAAATTACCTTTGCTTTCTGATAGGATCCAATACAAAGCAAAGCTCCACATCCTTGAATGCTCCGCAAAATTACCGAATATGAACCCAAAATCCTATAATAAGTCCTATTTAACAACCTGTTACAGAGATACTGCACAGATACCAAGAATGTATGGTCTTTCTTATAGCAAACAGTCAATAAGTCCAACTTTGTTTTTTGTTTTTGTTTTTTAAGATTTTATTTATTTATTTGACAGAGAGAGACACAGTGAGAGAGGGAACACAAGCAGGGGGAGTGGGAGAGGGAGAAGCAGGCCTCCTGCTGAGCAGGGAGCCCGATGCGGGGCTCGATCCCAGGACCCTGCGATCATGACCTGAGCTGAAGGCAGACACTTAACGACTGAGCCATCCAGGTCCAACTTTGCTTGACTAATAAATGTGTCAAGAACAATAGTCAGCAAACCCAGAGTCAGCCAAATCCCATATATCACCTGGCTTTGTACGACGGTAAGAATGTTTTTTTATAAATTAAAGGGTTGTTTCAAAACAAACAAATGAAGAAGAATATGTGACAGAGACCACATGTGGCCCACAGACCCTAAGGTATTTACTATTCAGTCCTTTACAGAAAAATTTGCCCAGTCTTGGTCAAGAACTGTGAAGAGTCATATTCTATTGTACTGGCAAACTGACAAGTTAATTTGGAACAGTTTTGTGGATGATGACAAAATTATACATGAAATTTCTGGATCAGAGATGAAAGGTTTATTACTGAAAGCAGTAGCCAGAGTATCAGCATATTTGCTTTGGTTTCCTGAGCCTCAATTCCCAAAGGGAGATGTAGAAGGCCAGATGATACCTGCATCTTCAATGGGTGGCTTTACAGGAGAAGAACCCAGGGCTGAGGGTCCAGCACTTTGTGAGCAAGCAGCAAACATGATAGGATGATGCAATTAAACCAGTTCTCTTCACCTGGGGACTGAGCAGTGGTCATGTTGCAGTTACCTTGACATATTTAGTTGCCTATAGGACTTTCTACAGCAACTGTTCAGGATCAAGAGATGGATAGATAAACCTTATAGTCTGACATCCCCAGTAAAAACACTCAGGGATGCTCAGGACCCCACACTGTGCTCCTGGTGGTCTCTGAAGGTCATGATGGAAGTGAAATTTCCACTAAGATTCAGGGGAAACCTTCACTGCCACAGACTGGCAGCCTTGCCTATCTAGTTTGGACATCTGAAATCTCTTGTGTCTCCTTCTGGTGAAGGCCCTCATGCCTGGAGTGGGTGGGTAAATTTATGCTTAACTGAGCTCTGATATTTTATTGAAGTCCTTCACATTGGGTTTTTTTTTCTTTTTGTTTCATTTTGTTTCTTTCCTTAGGAATAGTCTCCTGGGATCTTTCTGTTATTTGACAGATTGGTATTGTTCCTTAGTGAAACTGTTCTTGCTAGCCTTGTAACATTTTCTCCTGTGGTCTGTCTGCTTGTTTAGTTGTTTATTAGCAGACAAGTCTATAGAAAGAGGACAGGCAAAGATCTGTCTATCCTCGAGCTGGCCCCAGGGTCAGGGAAGCTCAGGTCTTTAAATCAGCTTTACCTTGAGTCTCCATTTTTTAAAATTATATAAAGACTTCTTCATTAGTCTTGTCTTTGTACCCCTGCTTCGTGTAATTTCATCTGCTTAGAAGCAGGTTTGTCCAACCTGTATTTGGTGACAGGCTTTGGCCAACTTCCAGAGATAGGAGGTAGCACAAGTATCATCTTTAGGGAACACTGCAGTTATAGGGTCTCCTCAATTGAAAATTGCCGCCCTCATGCCAAAACACTGCTTCCTTAATGTTTTCACACTGTAACATTAACTCGTATGCTTTTCTCTCTAATTTGCACAATTGTACCAGAAACATTTGGAATTATACTAGCCACTTTAGCTACATTTGACAAGAACAAGATTGTTCATTTAGGAGGTGCTTTGGAACAGAAAAAGGAAGAAACCCTGATGAGGAAATTGTCTTACGTGTGTACACACACAAAAAAGGAACTTTTTTACTTAAGGTAGAAAACACCCCCTCCTTCATATCCATACTTTGAAGATTAATAAAGGCTGGCTTTTTAAATTGTATGGCTAAATAAAATTGTCAAGGGCCCAAGTTATTCTTTAAATTAACTATAATAAAACTCTTGTGTGTGTGTGTACGTGTTAAAATGGTATTTCTATATAAATTCTCTCTTGCATAGAAAATATAAATTAGCCTTTTACAGTGGTAACTCCATATTTGTCTGAAGCTGGCTCCTTAACATTTTGTTCTGTTTTTCTCTCTCGGAAAATGTAAAGATTAACTGATGGATCAAACAAACAAAAACATTTAGTTTTAATGTGCTCATTCTAGAAATATCTAGTCCAGATAAAGGAAAAATCTAAAAGAAAAAGCAGTTGTCAAATTCTTGCTGCTTGTTTTGTGAACCCTGAAAAGCACATTTACTGAATAACCCTTGTTACATAGTTACAAGACAAAATGACAAAGCTTTAGTTAGTTCCAAAATAAACGAAGAGATTTTGATATGATTTTTTAATATTTTAATTTACTGTATAAAAATTATGCCAACACAGTATTTTGTTTGTACAGGACTAGGGTTAAATTTTTTATGATTTAAACTTTCTAAATTTCCTATGTTGGTTTTATAAGTTAAATAAATTATCATTGTTTTTATAACATGACTAAAATTACTTATATGTATGTGTTGTATGTATATGTGAATATATAAAATATATGAAAATATAAATATATATAAAATGTATATTAACTAAATGAAATGATAGTAACAGATATCTTTTCAAGGATTAAATTTCAGGAAATTTTTTTTTAAAGATTTTATTTATTTATTTGAGAGAGACAATGAGATAGAGAGAGAGAGCGTGAGAGGGGGGAGGGTCTGAGGGAGAAGCAGACTCCCCGCTGAGCAGGGAGCCCGAGGCGGGACTCGATCCCGGGACTCCAGGATCATGACCTGAGCCGAAGGCAGTCGCTTAACTAACTGAGCCACCCAGGTGCCCAAATTTCATGAAATTTTTATAATACTACAAATAATAAGGATTTAATATGTTAGCTAAAATTGTAAATTCTAGATCCTTAAATAATTTTAAGACTTTATTTTATTTTAGTTTTTTAAAGATCTTATTTATTTGTCAGGGAGAGAGAGAGTGAGCCCAAGCAGGAAAAGCTGCAGGCAGAGGGAGAAGCAGGCTCCCCACCGAGCCGGGAGCCTGATGCAGGACTCGATCCCAGGACCCTGGGACCGTGACCTGAGTGGAAGGCAGATGCTTAACTGACTGAGCCACCCAGGCATCCCTAATTTTAAGACTTTAGACAAACGGTTAACTAACTAATCTTTTGATGCCTGGGTGGCTCAGTCGGTTAAGTTGCCAACCTTGATTTTGGCTCAGGTCATGATCTCAGGGTCCTGGGATGGAGCCCCACATTGGGTTCCCTACCCCCCCCGCCCCCCCCTTCAGGATTCTCTCTCCCTCTGTCCCTGCCCCCGCTTGCTCACACCCCCCCACCCCCCCACTCTCTCTCTCAAATAAATCTTTAAAAAAGAGAGGTATTACTGCTTATCAAGATGTTAATTTTTTTTAAATTTTTTATTGTTATGTTAATCACCATACATTACATCATTAGTTTTTGATGGAGTGTTCCATGATTCATTGTTTGTGTATAACACCCAGTGCTCCATGCAGAACGTGCCCTCTTTAATACCCATCACCAGGCTAACCCATCCTCCCATCCCCCTCCCCTCTAGAACCCTCAGTTTGTTTTTCAGAGTCCATCGTCTCTCATGGTTTGTCTTCCCCCACAAAGACGTTAAATTTAATATGATGTATACATCTTGATCTCGGTCAGGGTAGTGTTCTCACGTGGTGAAGATGGAAACTTCAAGGCCTCTTGAGGTCTGAACTTCATAACCTTCACAGCACCACTTCTGCCACAATCTATTGGTCAGACATCCTGGGGGAGAAGAGGTTCTGCTGGAACAAGCTATTGCAGGTGCAAGTGAAAGCTTTGAAGATGTAGGCCACTCCCCTGATGCCAGAGAAATGCTAAAGCAGTACTATATTGGTGGTGTGCATCCAAACGACCTTAAACCTGAAGGTAATAGCAGGGACCCTTCCAAAGATGCCACATGCAAATGTTGCTGGTCACACCAGATTTTGCCCATCATAGGCACTATTGTCTTAGATTTCCTGTATTGTTACTACACGTCAGAAAGCAAATCCTCCTGAGATTGTGTGGAGTCAGAAAGCATGTCCACTGGGGGCACCTGGGTGGCTCAGTCGTTAAGCGTCTGCCTTCGGCTCAGGTCGTGATCCCAGGGTCCTGGGATCGAGCCCCTCATCAGGCTCCTTGCTCGGCGGGAAGCCTGCTTCTCCCTCACCCACTCCGCCTGCTTGTGTTCCGTCTCTTGCTGTCTCTGTCAAATAAATAAATAGAATCTTAAAAAAAAATTATTTAGAAAGCATATCCACTGGAAGTGCGAGCTAGAGGCTTGTTTGGAGGCCTCACGAGGCCCTCTTCTCGAATCCTGCCAGGTGTGTGCTTCCCCCTTGGAGCCCAGATGGTTGGCCAGACATCCACCCCAGAACTGGGGCCAGTGTCCTTCATCTCCTACAGCCTTACTCCCAAAGCACCTGCTCATTGTTCTGTGTCCCTGCCAGTGCCCCTCTCTCTGCTGGCTTCCACTCGCCAAACTTTGTTTTATAATTACAATCCATATGTCCTAGTGGCATCGTCCTTTGGGAAAAATGTCTGCTTTCCAATACTTAGAATGCACATTAGACTTTCTTAACAGGGCAACACACTCTGGTTTTGAAACTTTTCTTTTTCCATTTTTCTGAGATAAATATATATGTTTAAATAAATAAACACATACATATACACATGTATACTATAAATATTAATATACATATTTTAAGGCTATTGTTAAAAACTTCAAATATCAGTGCACCTGGGTGGCTCAGTTGGTTAAGTGTCCAACTCTTGATTTCAGCTCAGGTCATGATCTCAGGGCCGTGGGATCAAGCCCCACCCACATCAGGCTCTGTCCGTCTTCCTCTGCTCCTCCCCTCGCTGGCTCTCTTCCTCTCTCTCTCTCTCAAATGAATAAATAAAATATTTTTAAAAACTTCAAATGTGTTATTTCTATATATATTCATTTGTGCCTAAATACACACATATATCAAGGTATATTTATGAATCTTATACTGACAATAGTTATGCAAATCATGTACAAAAAGTGTAAAGTTAGAATATGGGTGGTGTTTTTTTCTGTAAGAAGATTCAGTTATTCTGTGCCCAAATTAGTAAATGTTCCCTTTGTCACCAAAATATTTGTTAATTCTTAGTGCTTTATCACATATTCTTAAACAATTTTGAAGAGGTTCCTCTTTACTTTTGAAAAAATTCAGCCTGCTTCTCCTCTCTCTGTCCCTCCTCCCCACTTGTGCTCTTTCTCTCTCAAATAAATCAAATCTTAAAAAAGAATAAAAAGATGTACCACTTTCTCCTGATTGCTAGACATTTATTCTATAGGAGAATTCAAACTGAGAATTGTTAGGAATTCTTTGGAAGCTGGTGACTGGAGAAGTGGACAGCTTTCACCCAAGACAAAGAAACAAGACTAATTTTCCAATTTTTTTCTGGTTAATTTTCTACGTTCAGCTTTAGTACTAATCTTGCCTTTTATTGTATTTTGGAATGAACATCACTGAACTAATACTAGTAGTATTTGCATGGGATTTAAACAAAAAAAAATGATCTACACATTTCTTTAACTGTTATAAGCAACAAATTACTAATGTCATATCTCATTACATTGAGTTTAAAAATCACTACCCTCAAACTCACAATTTATCCTAAAAGAGACTGGTCATTGCTATAGACTGAATGTTTGTGGTCACTCCCTTTTTCCTTCCACCATGTGAGTATACAATGTGAAGACTGATGTCTATGAACCAGAAAGCAGCCTCTCACCAGACAATGACTCTGCTGGCATCCTGACCTTGGATTTCCTAGCCTCTAGAACTATGAGAAAGAAATTTCTGTTATTTATAAGCCCCTCCAGTCTATGGCATTCTCTTATAGCAGCCTGAATGGACTAAGTCATTGTTTGTGTATGAAATAAAACTAAGTATCATTTGAGGGAACTACTGTTGATTCTCCTAATCTACCCATCAAATCTTGAGTTTGTTGAACTCATCTAACTATTTATTAATTTAACATTTTCTAGGAGCCAGTAATGTGCCAAATAATGTGCTAGACACTAGGATATGATGACACAGGTCTATTGCCCTTCAGTTTTGCAGGAAGAGGCAGGCAGGTAAATAACGGCTGTCAGGTAACAGTGGGTGCTCTGATACAAGTATGATTAGAGAGTGTGGGAGATTAGAGAGTAGTAAGTTCTTTGTAGTATCTGTTTTTGCAGTGAGATCCAGGAAAATACCACAGGGATGGGTGCATTTGCACAACAGACAAAATTTCTCAAATTCATTTGCAAAATGGCTATAGATAGTATAGGAAGCGAATCACACACTTTTTTTTTTTGGTAGGTTTTATGGTTTTATTAACACAAATATGATGTGCACAACAAGCTGTCTATTCATTTTCTTCGCTGCGCAGCCTGGCGTTGGGATTGGTGACCCTGATTGCCAGCTGGGCTGCTCTTTCCACAATAGCTTTGCGGTTCTTGGAGGAAACATTGTGAGCAATCTCTGCACAGTAAGATTTGTTGCACATCAGCAGCACTTCAAGCTCCTTAACGTTGTGGACTAGGAACTTCCGGAAGCCACTGGGCAACATGTGCTTTGTTTTCTTGTTGCTCCCGTAACCAATGTTGGGCATCAAGATCTGGCCCTTGAATCTTCTGCGCACCCTATTGTCAATGCCTCTGGGTTTCCGCCAGTTGCGCTTAATTTTGACATAGCGGTCTGACTGGTGCCGGATGAACTTCTTGGTCCTCTTTTTAACGATCTTGGGCTTCACCAGAGGTCTGAGGGCAGCCATGATGCCCAGTAACAGATGGCTGCCACCTCCACAGGCAGAGCCGAGGAAGAGACACGAATCAGCCACTTTTATATCCCTCTGTATTGCACATAATAAAAATGGATCCCTTTTGAAGCAGGTCAAGCTATTTAAAAAAATCAATACAGAAATTGCCTTCCCACTCCCTCCTTTCTGCTACAGTACAAGGAATAAAAAAATTATGGGCCCCACGGGGTGATTGTTTTAAGGTATGCAGTCCACAGTATATTGTATTTATATCATTGTTTCCAGCATGACAAGGACACCCTTTAGCCTTCTGAGTGCCAATAAAGAATCAAGTAATCCGAAAGTGTTCTAATTCTGACAGTTTGGAGTTTGTGTTTTCTAACTTTTTCATTAGCATCTTTGAACAGAGCCATTTAAACGTACCTCTTTGGGGCTGGCAGGGAGAAGTGGCCAGGATGAAAAAAGTCATCATCGAAGGAATTGAAGTGGAAGATCCAACATTTACGATATTTTGATGATTTGCTAGATGCTTTCTTTCATCTTATTCTCATACTAACTCCTTTTCTCCAGTAACCAATTAATGCTTTGAGAAGGTATGTATCGTAGCCAAGGTCAAACAACAGCTAACAAATATAGGTATCCGGGATTGATCTCCTCCGGGCTAGGTCATTACCACTATGTGAATACACTAAAAACAAAACAAAACAAAACAAAACAAAACACCCCCAAACTAATCCGCCCCCAAACCTCATCGTTCTAAACGGTTTTAATAAGATCACTAAGACTTAGAGGCCATTTAATGGGTCCCATTTAGTTGGTAAGGTAATCCTAGTGTTTTGCAAATCTTCTGCCAACTCAGTTCCTTCCAAAGGAACGAGCCGAAAGCCTTTGGCTGCAAAGTGGGTCGGCGATCACTCAGTGCGTGCTCAAGGGACTCAAGCAAGCTGCTTCCTTGCAGGTGCGCGCGCACCTGTCGCTAGCCGCGTGCGCGCTGCGAGGGAGGGAGGTACGTGTCCGTGCGCGTGCGCCAGGCAATATTCCCCGTACGTGCGCCGTACGAGGGCGCGGTGTCCCTGCGCTCGGAGTTTCGGGCCGACATTCGGCCCCGTGCCGAGTGGAAGTCTGGGAGGGGCGTGTTCCTGGGCGGTCGCGGCTCCCCCTGGTGGCGGCCGTGCAGCGCTGGAGGCGCGCAGTCAGGCGTTCTCCGCGGGCAGCCGGCGGCGGGGCCTTGCCTTCTAGCGCGGGGTCCTCGGCGGCCTGGGTGTCTACTGCCCCAGCTGCTGTCGTAGGCGAGGACGGCTGCTAGTGCGGCTGCTGTTGGTTCGCGGCGGCGGCGGCGGCGGAGGAGGAGGAGGAAGAGGGCGAGGCGACAGGGGAAGAAGGAGGCAGGCGCGGCGGCGGCGGCTTCGCCCGGGGCCGGCGGCGGCGGCGAGGGGGGGGGAAGATGGCGGACGTGCTCAGCGTCCTGCGACAGTACAACATCCAGAAGAAGGAGATTGTGGTGAAGGGAGACGAAGTGATCTTCGGCGAGTTCTCCTGGCCCAAGAATGTGAAGACCAACTATGTAGTTTGGGGGTAAGTCCGGCATGGCTGTGGCCTGGGGATGGCCGGGCAGAGTTGGGCGCCCCCAGGCGACCTCTTTCCTAACCCCTCCCCCCGATTCCCTTTGGGGATGGAGGAAAAAAACGGGTCTCTGGGTAAAAGTTTTTCTCTAGAAAAGAAGTTACACTTTTAGGTGAGGAGGGAATAGGAGGAGGTGCGTCCGGAGTGGTCCATTTTCTTTAAGTCTTTTGGGACGCCAAAGGGAAAGGTACCGAGGGAGTTTCTGACTTTTCTAGTTCATTTTTGCCGGTATGTGTCGAGTGTTAGTGTGTGTAGGTGCAGAAGAGGGCACACCGTCCGGTCCTGGAGACGTCTTTTTGTGTTCTTTAGTTTTTTCTTTCTCTTCGAGGCTACTATGTGTTAACTATCCCTGCTGCCTTTTCCTTTCGTAATTCCCTCAAGAAGAGAGAAGGGCACCAACTATGTGAAGTTAGAACGGGAAAAAGATTTGGTCACTTTGGAAGAGTCCTCAAAACCCGTGTTACAGGGGAAGGCATCCTCAGGGAGAAAGTTACTGGTGAAATGGGGTGAGCTTTACAGATCTAAGTAAGATACTGATGGTGTTGTGTGATTTTAGGAAATGTGTTTTAAAGAGGAATGTTTTGGAACGTTGATCTGTGCGGGGTTTTCTCAATTGAAGTCATTAAGGAAAATACCTAGAAATAGGTCCTATAATCGTTTGGGGCCTTTTTAGTGATGTTTCTGTCATTGGTATTTCATTTGGATAATTAGAACTTTGGGCCAGAACTTCCATACTCATTTTGCTTGATTGAATGGGAGCTCTAGGCTTTATGAGGGAAAGCTAGGGAAAATTTAGTTTGTTGGTTTCTAGTTTTTTGGCCTTGAGGGCTTATGATTCGATTAGCTTTATTAAATGTTGATGCAGTGACATCATTCTGAGTTTCTGCATTTTGTCCTTTCACCCAAAAGAATTTGCACAGACACAATTATATTTGATTGGAATTTTAACTGATTTGTTTTTTTCTTTAAAAAATGGTTAAAGAGTAGTCACAGTGTAGGGTGGTTCAGTCTGAGAAATAGAAAAATTTCTTAGCATCTTGGTAACTGACTCAAAGGAGGTTAACTTAATCAGAGTAGATGAGATAAAACAGATAGATTACTTGGCAAGAATTGCATTCTGGCCCTTAAGAGAGTAATCACTTCTAGCTTGGGGTATTAGAAAAGGTTTCCTAGAAGTGTGTTTGGGATGTAGATGTGCTACAAATTTTTCTTGAACAACTGAGTAAGCTTTAAAGAATGGGTAAAGAACTTGAGGGTGACATGATGGGTTAGGTCTTAAAGGACATGCTTAAGGGCATGAGAGCTGGAAGGGAAATGTTTTGATAGTTCAGTGAAGCTAGTAGTGAAAAGGGACTGCTTAGGATAGACTTCAGACTTTAACAACAGTGAATTACACTAATAAATATATTTTCATTTCATTTATTCATCTCTATGCATGTGTACATATGTCCAGCTTCGTAACTGTAAACAATAGTTATCCTTATTGCATGCTGTACATTGTGTTACTTTGCTTTTTTATATCGTTTAAAAAACCTGGTTACCTGTATATCCCATTTCATAGTACAAAAATTGGTAGTGATATATGATTTGAAATATGTCAATTTAGAGGAAAAGTGGAAATGCAGGCTAGAGAAATGTAGGTTGGGGCTGATTACTTTGGGCTGTATTCAGATGAATTTAATACATTGACATTTTTAGGTGAGGATAATGTAGTAGGAAGGGTGAGATTGGACACTAATATTGTTGAGCAAATAGTATTACGTGCTTTCATTAAAGAGCCTGCACCTCTAAACTGCATTGTTTTATCACAGGTAGAATTCAGTATGGTTTTACATCATTGGTTTAATTTGAGGGATGTCATAAGAATTATACCTCTGAAATTCATTGTTGTGTTTACTGTAAGAATGTTGTTAAGGCTGGTGTTTAGCAGTATCTTACTTAGGAGACATAGGATAAATTTCTTCTAAGTTTAGCACTGGCAGTAGTTGTACTTCTCCTAGTCAGTTTGTTTTCTCTTGTGGATCCTCTCCAATCTGTAAATGATTAGATTTCTCTCTCTATTGACAAAGACCAGAACCAAATTTGGGCCAAATTCTAAAAAGTGTATAGTACCTTAGAGGATGAATATGGTATGCTTTCCTTCTTGCTTTTTGTCATTGTCTACCTTTGTGTTCTGTTGCTTTAATGACAGTTCCACTTACTAAATTTCATACTTCATGGGTATTTTTGTTAGTCATGTTAAATCCATTGTTGGGTAGCAAAGTAAGTATAGATAAATTCGTACATATAATTAAGTCCAAGGAGTTGAATTAAAATTGAATAAAAATCTTGTCTTAATTATTTCAGGACTGGAAAAGAAGGCCAACCCAGAGAGTACTACACATTGGATTCTATCTTGTTTCTACTTAATAATGTGCACCTTTCTCATCCTGTTTATGTCCGACGGGCAGCTGTAAGTACAATTCATTTTAAAACTTTTTTGATTTTTTTTTTTTTTTGGATGGTAGGTATCATTTTGTCATCGTGCACTGAAATAAAGTTCTCAGACACCAGTCTTCTGCAAGGGAGAACAGCCCTGCAGGGCCGCTCAGATTTGTGTCTGAGAACTTTATTTCAGCACGTTTGGTGACCAAACAGGGACCTCTTCAGGACTCAATAGAGTCCTTGTCCACAGTGCGGACAACATCATTTGGCATGGATCACTTCCCTCATGGGTTTCAAATCAAGAGTAAAAGGTTTGTCAGTATGAAGGTCTACTGGAGGGTCAAAATTAGATCACTGTGATTTAATGCAGATTTTTAAATCTGTGACTTTCAGGTAAAACATGGGCACTGTTTACAAGAACAGAAGTTTTGAAGGCATTTGTAGGAATGTTTTAAGAAATTCATAAGCTTGTGGAAGGACCCTGATATTCAGAACTCTAAAAAAATCTCAGGACTTTTTGGGGGGCATCATAAAGAATCAAGATTAACAGACAACTTTAAAAAAATTAAATTTTTAAATAGTATAATAAACATTTTTAATACTTTATTGACAAACTCATTTGTTTTCAGTTTTGCCTGCCTTCAGCATGTCAGTATTTGAACACTGCATTTCTGAATAGGAAATAAATATTCAACATCTAAAAAAAATAGAAGAAGTAATATATAGGGTGAAACTACTTGGGATTTGAGAAATAGTGGGATAAAAATAACGGTGTTTCTATAAACTTATGTTACCTCGTCTTAAATCTTTAAAAACTGAGTTAGGCAGGGGTGCCTGGGTGGCTCAGTTGGTTAAGCGACTCCCTTTGGCTCAGGTTGTGATCCTGGAGTCCTGGGATCGAGTCCTGCATTGGGCTCCCTGCTCAGCAGGGAGTCTGCTTCTCCCTCTGACCCTCCCCCCTCTCATGCTTTCTCTCTATCTCATTCTCTCTCAAATAAAAAAATAAAATCTTTAAAAAAAATAATAAAAACTGAGTTAGGCAGTAATTAGAATCTTTTGTTGGCTACATCATTCATTTTGTGGTAATAAAGATGATCCATCTACTTGGTTTAGATTTAGAAATTATATTATTGGGAAATGGTTGTAGCATGTAACTGATGGCTGTAATTGTTACCTTTCTTCACATAAGATTTAAATCTTTTGTTTTTCTTAAATACTTCACAGATTGAAAGGGCAGAATTCTATAATTCTAGGGTTCTACAAATTTTGTTTTTTCCTCTTTTGTGTTATTTGCTCTCATGTGAGCAGACCATTTCTGAAATACATTTTCCTGAGCTATAGCTACTATTTTAGTGTGAGTAGACTTGTATCTTTCTCAGTTGGCTGTATTATGTCCATAATACATTAGTAACCAAATGATGAAAAGTGTTATCAGACTTAGAAACAGTAATTTAAAGAAAATTAACTTGGGCGCCTGGGTGGCTCTGTCGTTAAGCATCTGCCTTTGGCTCAGGTCATGATCCTGGGGTCCTGGGATCGAGCACCACATCGGGCTTCCTGCCCAGCGGGAAGCCTGCTTCTCCCTCTCCCACTCCCCCTGCTTGTGTTACCTTTCTCGCTGTGTCTGTCTCTGTCAAAAAAAAAACAAAACAAAAACAAAACTTAAAAAAATTTAAAATAAAATTAAAATCTTTTAACTATCTATGATATACCCCATGTAGACTAGCTTTTAAAAACAAGCGCACAAAAAAAAAAAAGGTCTTAAATGTTTATATTCCCAGCAGAAATTAAAATTTAGCCTGCCCTTTAAAAAAAAAGTTAATTTTAAGTGATTAAAGTATAGTTTTTTTTTTTAAGATTTTATTTATTTGAGAGGGAGAGAGAGAGCACATGAGAGGAGGGAGGGTCAGAGGGAGAAGCAGACTCCCTGCTGAGCAGGGAGCCCGATGCGGGACTCGATCCCAGGACTCCAGGATCATGACCTGAGCCGAAGGCAGTCGCTTAACCAACTGAGCCACCCAGGTGCCCTAAGTATAGTTTATTTCTATCATCAAGGACTGTGTGCAGAATGGTGCAGTAGTCAGTATAAGATAATTAGCCAAAGGATTCTTGTTACTTCATTTTTGCTTATATAAAGTGACAAAGGGATTTTAATATATAATCTTGCAGCCACCAGTCATTCCTGTACTCAGTTGTTGTTGATATTATAAAAATGATAGGAAAATTGTGGTAATTACAGGATTCATTGAATTCATGGCCCGAAGATGACTTGGTGACTAAAGTATACAGTTTTGTTTTGCATACCTCTTTACAAACTGCTAATGTAGGAGATTAAAGGAAAATATCCATTTTACCAAAATAGATGCATTATCCAGGTTTAATTTTTTAATCTTTTCCCCTTCCTTACAGAATTTGTATACACTCAGGGGTAAGAAACAAATGTGTAATGTGGAAAGTAAACAACCGCCATTAATGGTTTCCTATGTAGTCTCCTGTTTTTTCCCATGCTTAAATAACACATACCTATTGTTAATTATGAAAACTTAGGCTAGTGGCTAAGTTAGTGTATTTTGGAGTTCAAGTAGAATATTTTGAGGAAGTCTGTTTTGTGTTTGAGGCAAAAAGGCACTTGGGAATGTGTAAAATGAGCAGGCAATAGGACTAAAAAGATAATTGCCTAAAGCATGCGAAGTGTCATGAGTAAAATAAAATACTTAAGGTAAGCCAAGGGAACAAAAAAGATTGGAATTGATATTTTGAAGAGGGATGGGTCATTGTTTCATTTCTAATGGTTATTTTTTTATATATACTTGAATTTCAAGAATGAAGTTATTAAAGTGAATATTCTTAAAATTTTTCAAGACTTTTATTGGGTTTTTTAGCCTAGTTCCGTAAAGATAAGATCCTAAGTAAGTGTTACCGAGATACGTTGGAATGAAATTCATACGTTACATAATGTTTGTCTTTATTATGTTTCTTATAATTGTTGTTTTGATAACTAATTTAAAATTTTGACTTCAGACTGAAAATATTCCTGTGGTTAGAAGACCTGACCGAAAAGATCTACTTGGATATCTCAATGGTGAAGCATGTGAGTAATTTTTAACTTGCTCTCACTCTTAAATAGCCATTGTTTCTTTCCTTCCCCTGTGAAATGAGAAGCAATGGAAAGAGAATTTGTATTTTCACTAAAAAATTAACGTACCAGCAACATATGTGTACATATACTCTCCATTCTTTTCTGTTATGGTGAATGCAGTATTTTCGCTCCTAAGGCCAGTCACCACTTCTCTGTCTATAGATTCCATTTCCTTTCACACTCTGAAAGACTTTGCCTTTGTGAATTGTTGCTTCCCTTTTACATCATCATCTTTCTCCTTTTCTCTGCATTCCCTTTAAAATGCATACTGTAAGATCTATCATTTAAAAACAGTTTTTTGACCCCACATTCCTAGTATCTACTGTTGAATTTGTCTTCTTTTTATTGCAAAATTCTTTGTTAACAGTTGTATGATATCACTGCCTACTTCTTGAATCCCCCACTCTAATCTGACTTTCCTACTCACCATCTCACTAAAATTACTGTTGTAAGGTCAACATTGACTTAGGGGTTGTCAATTCCTTTAGTCTCTTATCCATATCAACACTGTTGATTACTCCCTTTTGGAAAGCCTTTCTTCACGTGGCATCTGGGGCACCAGACTCTTGATTCTCTTTCTATTCATTGTCCATCTCTCATTTTATTTTGCTTACTTCAGCACTGACCTATTCCTAAGCTCAAGTTGTAAATCCACTGTCCACCTCTTTCCTTGGATATATAATAGGTATGTGAAATTCAACATATCTGAAATAGAATGCTGATTCCCTCCTTCTCTTCACCCCTTAAACAAAACTAAAATAGCAGGTCTGGTCTCCCAGTATTTCCATCACAATAAATGCTTTCCCATACATGGAGTTGTTAAGGCCAAAAACCCTGGAAAAAATCTTTGATTACTTTGATCAATTTCATGAACAAGTCCTTTTCTTTAACTTTAAAAGTATGACAGTTTCTTAACCATTCTACTCCCACCGTTCCATTCTTCCCCTTTAGACTTGCATAGCTTTCTTAAGGTCCCCACTCTATAATATCTTGTATAGTCTTTGCCTACCCATTAGAGTGACCTGTTTTTGAAAACGCATATAAACTTGATTGTGTCACTTACCTGCTCAAGCCCATCCTGTGGCTTCCCGTCATACTTAGAATAAAGCCCACACCCCTTATCCTATCCTGACCTGCGTGATCTTGCTCTGCCTAAATCTCTGTGGCCTCATCTTCTTGCAGCCTTCCTTTGCTCGCAACAGTCCAGTCTTGTTGGTTCTTTTAATAAACTATCCTAACTTTTCAAGTCTTTGTACTTGCTGTTTTCTCTATGTTCAGTTCTGTTTCTCAACATTGTCACATGTCTTTTTTCTTACCACCTCATTCACATCTGTGCTTAAATCTTGTCAGAAAGAACTTAGCATTCTAAAATACAGGATAGCAGTGTTTTCCCACATATGCCCATCTATGTATAGCATCTTCCTCATTTATTTTTCATCAAATCCCTTACATTGAGTTGAAATTACATATTTGTTTACTTATATATTGTCTGCCCCATTAGAGGATAAACTGTAAGAGGGCAGACAGTTGTTAAATACCCAGCATTTTAGAACAGTGGTTAGTAGTGGGTGCTTACCTCTATAAATGAGTAATCATTAACTTGCTGTCTTAAAAGAATATGAATATAAAGAGGTATAATAAATTGATATATAATGTAAATTGATGAGTATGAATAAATGGATATAATCTTAGAATAATATGAATAAACCAATATAAGACTGATTGGTCCTAACCTTCTTTGGGTGGAGTTTACTACCTTTAAGTCATTAATAGCTGTCTCATCGCATATTGTGCTCCACGGCTTTAACAGTAAGATTGATTTGCACAGAGTCTCTTGCATAATGGAAAGACCATCATCAAGAGTCTTGTCTTTCTGTACTGTCCTCACTGAACATTCAGCAAGCTCTTATGAGTGGTTATTCTTTTTTTTTTGATTTATTTATTCATTTGAGAGAGAGAAAGCGGGCACCTGTGCACGAGTGGTAGGGAGGGGCAGAGGGAAAGGGAAAGAGAATCTCAAGCAGACTCCTCCCTGATTGCCGGGCCCAAAGTGGGACTCCCATCTCACGACCCTGCGATCCTGACCTGAGCTGAAATTAAGATTCGGACGATCAACCGACTGAGCCACCCAGGCGCCCCTTGAATGGTTATTCTTAAAGGCATTGTACTCAGTGCTATACAAAATGCAAAATTCGTGTCCTGAACATGTTTACCATCTTGAAAGATAGACTGATAAAATAAGGGTTAAAATCTGGGGAGAGGATCGAGGCAGGATTCCAGTTCTGCTGTGAGGGGGATGGAGTTGATTTTTTTTGGCAAAGGCTTTTTTTTTTTTTTTTTTTAAACCATTTTTTTTTCTTGTTAGATTTTTTTTGCTTCAGAAGATCTGGTATAGAGTCTAGGATTCTCTTTTTTTTAAAAAGTGTCTCAGGTAAGCTTGATAAATAGGCTGGTTAGTGGGGGAGAGTACTTCAGGGCAAATAAATGGTTTTTCTCTTCAGAATCCAGGAAAAAGTTCCCCTTTATTCATCCATGTCATTATCTGTAGTTTCTATAGGACAAAAAAATGTAGTCATCAAGTATATGACTTGATTTTGTATATGACCAATTTTATTTTATTGAAGATTTATTTTTATTTTTATTTATTTGACCGAGAGAGCCAGAGAGCACAAGTGGGGGGAGATGGGATGGCAGAGGAAGAAGGAGAAGCAGGCTCCCTGCAGGGAGCCTGATGTGGGGCTCTATCCCAGGACTCTGGGATCATGACCCAAGTCGAAGGCAGACGCTTAACCGACTGAGCCACCCAGGCGCCCCTCCTTTGCTATTTTTAAAACAAATTGTTGAAGTAATGGTTTAATGAACAAGTTGAGGAAATCTTAAGACATTCCATGTTCTTAGACAAGAAGACATAACAGCTTAAAGATGTCAGTTCATAACATAGATTATATATTTAACATAATCCCAATAAAAATCTCTATAGTTTTTCTTGAGGGAAGGGTGGAATAGACATGATGATTCCAAAATCCATTTGGTAAAAGTAAGTGTCCTAAAAGTTTGGAGAAGAGCAATGAGAAAATACTATTCTAGAGTTCAGAACTTATTATAAAGCCCTAGTAATTTAAAAAATGTGAATAAACTGATAGAACAGTTTTTTATCTGTTAAATATTAAATTATGTGAATTTGACACAACTAAAAAGGTCAAATCAGTGGGGGAAAGATAGGATTATTCAAGTAATAGGTTGGTAAAAATTAAAAAAGTTCTGTATTATTAAAAAAAAGACCTGACAAGTTGGGAAAAAATACTTCAACTCATCACAGTGAAAGGACCAGTCTTACTGATAATATGAAGTGGTCCTAGAAATACATGCATAAAAGACCAACAACCCAAGAGATTTTAGTCATAAAATTCAAAGAAAAGGTGATGAAATCATATGAAAAATGTTTATTTCACTCAGAATTATAAATTGAAACTGTACAGAGATAGCATTTTTTTTTAAACCTCATTGACAAAAATTTATCAGTTTAATAATACACTTTTGAGTCTCTGAGGAAACCGATACCCTAATATATTTTTAGTTGTAGTGTCAATTGATACAACTCCCACTGAAGATATTTGGCAGTATCTATTATTACAAAATCAACCCAGAAATCCTACATCTGGGACTTTATTCTAGAGGTATATTTGAAAATGAATGAACAATGTGTCATTGTTTGTAGTGGCAAAAACCTGTTAGAATTGAACTGCCTGTGGATAGATAGGGAACTAGTTAAATAAATTACAATTAACCCATACATTAAATACTATGTAGATTTAAAAAGGAAGTTAAAGAATGCTCCACATACCGATATATTGGAGCTCTATTGTTCGGTCAAAAAAGAAAGGTTCAGGACAGTGTGTATAGTATGCTACCTTTTTTGTTAAAAAAGGGGAAAAATAAAAGCATAACTTTGTATTTCTTGTAACTACAGAAAGAAACTAGAAAGATACATGAGACTGTCAAATAGTTATGTAGGGTGGTGAGAACGAGGTGGATGGGGACTGGTACATCCTTTCGTTAGTTTCATTATTTTGAACCATTCAAAAATTAAATGATTTAATTTAAAAAAAAAAATTTACCAATTGTGAATAACTAAAAATTGCATTTTTTAAGGTGAATGCTAACTTAAAAAAAGCCTTTTCCTTTATACATATGTTTATGTATTTATGTTCAGATACATTTTATGTGCATGTGTGGTAATTAACATCAGAGTATATGTTCTTTGAAGTGACCAGTTGATTTCAGTCAGATTCTCACAATAATTTGTAAGTTAAATTATTAAAAATATTTGTCCTTTTACAGACTTTTAAATACAGATTAATCTTCTACAGTGTTTTTATAAAACTGCTTTAAAACTTTTTTTCCTGGGGAAATCACTGTATATAAAGTAAGAAATAACAAATATTGAGCATTTCACTTGTAATAATGTCAAGTGTATGTGTTCAAATATCGGTCTTCTCACGTAAATCTTTTTAACTCTTCAGCAACATCAGCAAGCATAGACAGAAGTGCCCCTCTAGAAATAGGTCTTCAGCGATCTACCCAAGGTACGTTTTGTCACATATTTATATAGAACTTTCAAAAACTTACTCCAGAACCGTGTACTTATTTACTTTTCTTTTCTTAAAAGTGAAACGAGCTGCAGATGAAGTTTTAGCAGAAGCAAAGAAACCACGCATTGAGGTAATGGGACTTTATTTTAAATGTGAATTGTAGTATTACAAAATTGGGTTTGTATATGAATAAGAATTCTTTTTCATAGTAGTCCTATGAGGTTTTTTCTGGAAAAATTGTTGTAGTATAATGAATGTTTGATTAATAGTAGCTTGAGCTATAGTTTGAGATCTCTTACATAAGCTGTGTGTTGGACAGATCACTTTCTTTTCTTTTATATCCTTATTGATGAAAGTGTTGGGCTAGGTCAGGAGTTGGAAAACTTCTTCTGTAAGGGATCATATAGTAAATATTTTAAGCTTTTTGGGCCGTTTAGTGTCTGTCCAACTATTCCACCCTGCTGTTATAGTGCGGAAGCAGGAAGAGGCAATACATAAGTAAACTGACAAGGCTGTATTCCAATAAAATTTTATAACACAGATGGTGAGCCTGCCTTTTGGTTGTAGCTTGCCTACCCCTGGAATAAGATGGTGTGAGAATTTGCTTCACTCTTAAGAACTGTGAACATGAAGTGCTTATTACAGTTATTTCTTAAAATACTGGTGTATATTAGGGGGTACCTGGATGGCTCGGTTGAACATCCTCCTCTTGGTTTCAACTCAGGTCATGATCTCAGGGTCGTGCACTCAGCTGGAGTCTGCTTGCGATTTTCTCCCTCTGCTCCTCCCCCTCCTTGCGTGTGCCCCTTCTTTCTAAAATAAATCCTTAAAAAAAATACTGATGTATTAGGTTGCAGTTTTTTGTAGTGTTTTATGGCCAGCAAATGGAATACTAATATTGGTAAATAAGGATAGTTCACATGAAATAGAAGCTGTGTAAGAAATGCAGTTACCTTTAGAAAGAAAAATCGTTCAACAGCTAGAGTACTGCATAAGAAAGTTAGCCCTTAGAAATTAGCTATTTATTTAAAATTTTTAACAAGCCCCAGATCAATTACATATAAAACCCCCTGACAGTGGAAGATTATGTACTAGAGGTACACTTAACATCTGAGAAATGACTGAACTGGTCCATGTATCAATTAATAATATAGAAATAACACTTGTAGTCATCACTAATGTTAGTATTACTGGAAACCATAAATCTTTTCCTTTCACACTTGTATAAAAATCAAATAGTTGTACCTTTTGCCTGCTACAGAAACAGCAAAGCATACGTAGTTAAGGATAAATGGTAAATGTTAAAGGGACAGGGTATTGGTAAGTATGTTCTATATAACCATTGACAGAATTTGATGCTAAAACAGTACAATTTTATTTTAATTAATTATAAAACCGTTTTAATTAAGCGTACTCTGAGACATGGACTTGATGTTTTTTAGTTAATGATCATAATGATAATTACCTCATTGTTTCTCCTCTGTTCTGGTTTACTTTTGTATACTTTATGTATATTAACTCATGTAATCCTCAACCACAACCTCCTGAAGTTGGCGGTACTATGCATGTCATCGATGAGCAAACAAACCCCTCAGAGAGAGTAAGTTACTTGTTGATGTTCACAGAACCAGGATTGGAACCCAGACTATCTGGCTTCTAGCCATTCTACTGTATATACTGACTACAAATTTTGTAGCAGTAAAACGGAAGTTTTCACCAGCTCTATCTGTATGAAAGAAGGTTGTGACCCAATGTGAACAAAATGAGTGAATTTAGACACACTACTTATTTGGAAAAATCTGAATTTACAGTTTGATTATTTGAAATAAATCGAACATGACAAAAATGCTAATTTGCTAGGATACCATTAACTTGAAACATCAGCAAGAAATATAATAAAATGCTTTGCAGAGTATTTATAGAGTTAAAATGCTTTACATAAACAGCTATGTTACATAAACAGTTTTCAGTTCAGCGTATATATTTTGGGAACCTGCAAGGCACTGTGCTAGGAGAGAAACCTTGAGGGCAGAGATTCTGATCTAATCTGATTAAAATCTAGGCTGCAGTTGTCTTTAAAATCAGTAGTTTCCTAAGGAACTTGAGTAATTTGTGTTATACCTTCATTACAAATGGTTAAAATTTAATGCAGTTTGCTTCAATACTATCTTTGCCTTCATGTCAGCAAAATGTTTTTTTAAATGATAGGTTAAAATGTTTTTTTAAATGATAGGTTAAGGGTGCCTGGGTGGCTCAGTTGGTTAAACCTCTGCCTTCAGCTCAGGTCACGATCCCAGGGTCCTGGGATCGAGCCCCACATCGGGCTCCCTGCTCATGCAGGAAGCCTGCTTCTCCCTCTGCCTGCCGCTCCCCCTGCTTGTGCTCTCTCCCTCTCTTTCCCTCTCTCTCTCTCGCTATCTCTCTCTGTGTGTCAAATAAATAAAATCTTTGAAAAAAAATAATAAATGATAGGTTAATATTAGAGCATGAATTGGATGGAGCACAACATTGAATATACTGCTTTTTATACAATAATCATATTTTGTTAGCCATAGACACTAACCCTGTTCCTTAGTTTTCTCATTTGTTGAATGTGGGCATTGAACTAGATCAAGTTTTGTTTTTAACCGAACACTTTTCAGACTAAATTTTATTTGAAATTCTAACATGCAGGTTAGAGAAGAGCTGAGTTGAACTCAGAGAAGTGGCCCATGAGGCACTTTGTAGGAAATGCCTAATGTTCTAAGGAACATGCTTTGAAAACATTCAAGTTTCACTTCTGGTCATCAGAAATCCTGATGGATTCAGGACCTGGGGCAACAGGTGCAAAAAACTATCTCCAAAATGAAATTTTTGACTGTGGTGAAGGCTTTTCATAAAATTTAGTGATAAATTTTCCTGAAGAGAAGGAATTTATTAGTGGTATAATAACTGTATGAATAAAAATAGATATGATACATTATGGGAAGAACGTTTAATCATAGAAAAAAGTTGATGAAGTTCTTTGGTAAGCTTTTAATCAGTTCTACTCTTATGTGATCCAACATATATTTATTATTGTTGTCTTTGTGTAACTAGAAGTAATCTTAAAATCAAGCTGACTTAAGGCCAGCGATGCTTGGCATGTTATAGGCAGGAACTTACGTAAGGAAAAGTTACATGTAGTTTTTTTTGTTGTTGCTCTACAAGTTAAATAAAAATGTGCAATATTCACTAACCAGTGATTATTTTCAGGATGAAGAGTGTGTGCGCCTTGATAAAGAGAGATTGGCTGCTCGTTTGGAGGGTCACAAAGAAGGGATTGTACAGACTGAACAGATTAGGTAAGATTTTCTTTAGTAGAAAGTGTTAATTGTATATGGAAAAGGAGATATTAATATGTTACCTACATTTACCTTTACCTCTTGCATTTATTATGTGCTTCTGTGCCCTAAGTTCAAAAGAAGATGTGTGGGCATGTTTTATGGTAGGGGAGATTGAAAGTTAATTATGCTTTCCGGAAAGCCTTCTTGGTTCTATTACCACATTGATCTTCCCTTTTTTAAAATTACTCCATAACCAAGCCACTCATTTATTTTGTGATCTCTTGTTGATTTATAGCAGAGGTTAGCAAACTTTTTTTGTGTAGTGACACATAATTAAATACTTTCAGCTTTGAAGGTCACATGGGGGTTTTTTTGGTAACTAATGCTTGTGGTAGAAAAAGCAGTCTATGATTGCTTCATTCATAAAAGAATTGGCATGGCTGGATTTGGCTTGTAATACTTTGTTGATCCCTGATTTTTACTATAATTGGAATCACTTCATAATTTTTCCTTGGCACAATATAATGCTTTGGAAGTTCTATCCAAACTTAAAAATTCAATGCCTATTTTTAAAAGCTTTATTCAAGATGACTGACATAACAATAAGCTGCACATATTTAAGTTGATAAGCTTTCACATATGTATACATCTGTGAAACCATCATCATCACGATAATGAATATAATATCACCCCCATGAATTTCTTGTGTACCTTTATGATTCCACACTTCTACCTATCCCCACATCCTTCCCTCTCTAGGCAACCAATTATCTGCTGTTACTATAAATTAGCTTTTTCTAGAGTTAAGTATAAATGGAATTTTGTGATATGTACTTTTTTGGGGGGTCTGACCTCTTTTACTTAGCATAATTATTTTGAGATTCATCCATATTGTTGGATGTATCAGTAGTTCATTCTTTTTTTATTGCTGAGTGGGTTCATTCTGTTCCATTGTACGGACGTAACACAATTTGTTTTCCTAGGCAACTGTTTATGGACATTACACTTGTTGCTGTTTTTTGGCTATTGCAGTTAAAGCTGTGGTCATTTGTGTACAAGTTTTTTATGGACATATGTTTTCATTCCCACTGAGTAAATACCTAGGAGAGGAGTGATTGAATTGTGTACTGTTATAGATCTACTGTTTTAAGAAATCATTAAACTGTTCACAGTGATTGTATCATTTCACATTTCTACCATCAATATATGAGTCCTAGTTTCTTCACAGCCTTGCCAACACTTACTGTGATGAGGCTTTTTAATTGTAGCCATGCTAAAAGGTAGAAGATGGTTTATCTTGCACTTACCACATGATTAATGATATTATGAGCATCTTTTTGTGTCCTTATTTGCTATCTTATATCATGTTTGGTGAAGTGTGTTCAGATTTTTGTCCATTTTTTCTTATTGGATTGTTTTCTTATTACTGAGTTTTGAAAGTTTGTTGTATGTCCTGGATAGAAATCCTTTTCAGACATAGGCTTTGCAGATATTTCTTCCAGTCTGTGACTTGCCTTTATGTTCTCCTAACTACCTTTTGAAGAGCAGTTTAATTTTTATGACATCTCACTTGTCAACCTGTTCTTCTGTGAATTGTTTTGGTGTTATATCTAAGAAATCTTTGCCTGAGCAAAGCCAACAAAGATTGTCTCATATTCTTTTGTAGAAATTTTTTAGTTCTAGGTTTTACATCTCAGTCTGTGTTTTTTTTTCAGTTAATTTTTTTGTGTGTGGGTCATACAGCATGGATCAAAATTCATTTATTTTTTTTTATGATCTAGATATTGAAGTTCAGTTTTGTGCATGTGGGTAACCCAGTTATTTAGCACTATTGGTTTCCAATGAATTTTCTTTGCACTTGTGTAAAAAATCAGTTGTTCATGTGTAGGTCTGTTTTTGGACCCAGTCTGTGCTGTTGATCTATTGGTCTTTTTGCTTGTACCAAACTGTTTTAATGACTATGTTTTGAAATCAGATAGTGTTAGCTTTCCAACTTTGTTCTTCTGTTTCAAGGATGTTTTTGCTGTTTTAGGTTCTTTGCATTTTCACATGAGTTTTGGAATTAACATGTCATTTCCTACAAAAAAAGCTTACTGGGATTTTGATTGGGATTGCACTGAATCCGTAGACCAGTTTGGGGAGAATTGACATCTTAAAAATATTGAGTCTTCTGACTTATGAACAAGATGTATTTATTTCCCTTTCTATAACTGGAAAGATATTAAGAGCTTCTGTAATTTAACATTTCTTAATTTTCAGTATATAGACCTTATACATCTTTTTGTCATATTTCATACTTTTTGGTCCTATTATAAGTGATATTTTAAAAAATATTTCAATTCTTGACTTATTGCTAGTATAGAGATACAGTTGATTTTTGGGTATGGATCTTGTATCCTGCAATGAAGTTAAACGCATTGATAAGTTCTTGTAATTTTTTTTGTAGCTATCATTAGCTTTTCACATAGATAATTATGTTGTTGACACATAAAATATATCTTTTCTTTTTTTTCTCTCCCCCCCCCTTTTTTCTTTCTAAACTGGATGCCTTTTATTTCTTGCCTTACTGCACTGCCTAGACTTACTGATCCTCACTAATTCAGTGTTGAAGAAGCAGTGAGATTAGACATTCTTGTTTTCCTCATCTTAGGGGAAGCACTCTTTCACCGTTAAGCATGTTAGCTTAGATTTTTTTGTTAGATACCCTTCAACAGGTTGAGGAAATACCTTTTGTTTGCTGAGAGTTTATCAGAAAGGAATGTTGGCTATTGTCACATGTTTTTTTCTGATTCTACTGAAATGATCATACAGTTTTTCATTAATATGGAGAATTAAATTAATTTTTTGATGTTTGCACTTCATGGATAAATTCTGCTTCATTATTTTATCAGTTATCTTGCTGCATAACAAATTAACCTGAAACGTATTGGCTTAAACTACATATATTTATTTTCTCATGGTTTCTGTGGGTCAGGAGTCTTGGGGTGATTTAGGTAGCTTCTCTGCTTTAGGGCCTCTCACAGTGTTGCAGTTAAGCTGTTGACCAGGACTGTGTTCTCATGTTTAGGCTTGATAGGAGAAAGATCTGCTTCTAGAGCTCACTCATGTGGTTGCTGGCAGCATTTAGTTCCTGACAGGTTGTTAGACTAATACTTCCGTTCCTCAGGTTTTATCTAGAGGACTCTTGGTTCTTTGGTTCTTGGTTCTTAGAATATTTCACAGTATTACAGCTTGCTTCATTAGAGTGAGCAAGCAAGAGTGCAAGAGAGCTGTCAAGCAAGATAGTGGTTATTTTTTTTATAGCCAAGTCTTCAGAGTGACACCCTGCCCTGTCACTTGTACAGCATTCTATTTGTTAGAAACAAGGTTCAGCCCCTACCCGTACAGGAAGTGGATTACACATGGGTGTGAATGCCGAGAGGTGGATATTGTTTTAATGGCTGCCTACCACAATCATGATGTATTATTCTTTTTATTTATTGAATTAGATTTTTAAAAATTTATATAGAATTTTGTACCAATGTTTTTGAGGTCTGTAGTTCGCTTGTAACGTCTTTGTCTTGTTTCCTATCAAGATAATTCTGGTCTCAGAATGAGTTGGAAAGTATTTCCTTTTCTTCAATTTTCTGGAAAAGTTTGTGTTAGAATTGGTATTCCCTCCTGCATTTGGGAAAATCTATTGATGAAGCCATCTGTACTATAGTTTTATTTATTTTCATATATTTCAGGTAAAGTTTTCAACTGCATATTCAGCTTGTTTAATAGTTAATAGGTCTATTCTGGTTCTCTCTCTCTTCTTTGAGTGTTTCTTTGAAAGAATTTGTCCATTTCATCTGCATTGTCAAATTTATTTGCGTAATGTTCATAATGTCCTTTTAAGTTGCCTAGAATCTGTAGCAATGTCCCCTCTTTCATTTTTTGATATTAGCAATTGGTGTTTTCTGTTAGTTTCCTTATTGCCTGGCCAAAATTGACCAATTTTATTGATCTTCTCAAAGAACCAGATTGGGATTTTCCTCTTTAGTTTTGTTTTTTTTTTTCCTTCTTTTTTGATTCTTTTTTTTCTGCTCTCATCTTTATGATTTACTTCTGCTTACTCTGGATTTAATATGCTGTATTTTTTTATGGTTTCTCAGAGGGAAATCAATAACCTCAGCTTCCACTCTAAGTACTGCTTTAATGGCATCTCATATTGGTATGTTGTGTTTTCATTTTCATTCAGTTCAAAATTACTGTCTTAATTTCCCTTTTGACTTCTTTTACTCATGGATTGTTTGCAAGGGAGTTATTTAGTTTTTCTGGAGATCTTTGTTATTGATTTCCAATCTATTCCAAAGTATGGTTATATTTTATATGATTTTGAATCCTTTGATAAGTATTAAAACTCAGTTTTTGGCCCCAAATAAGGTCTTTTCTGTAGGCACTTGAATTTGTATTCTGCTGTTATTTTGGAGTGTCTTACTATGGTCAGTATGGTTGATAGTGTCAGTAGAGTCTTCTATATCCTCACTTGTTTTTTGTGTTGTATTAATTATTGAGATGGAATTATTGAAATCTCTGGCTGTGGATTTGTCTGTTTTTCTTTGCATTTCTATCAGATTTTGTTCTCTGTTTACTTTGAAGGTCTGTTATTAGGTGTAAATGTTTAGGGTTATGTTGTCCTGATGAATGAATCTTTTTATCATTATGGGGTGACCTTTATCTCTGGCAATATTCCTTATTAAAAAAATTTACTTTTTCTTATATTCACCTAGACACTCCTCCAGCTTTCTTTTGGCTTATATTAGCATAGTGTATCTTTTTACCTTTTACTTTTTAAGAAACATTATGGTAAAAAACACATAACATAAAATTTATCATTGTAATATTTTAAAGTGTGTAGTTCATTGTCCTAAGCACTTTCATATTGTGCAGCTGTGTCCAGAACTCTTTTCATCTGAAAACTGGAATCCTTTTACTTTTAACTTATGTGTCTTTATAGTTTAGGTACTTTTCTTGTGTGTGTAGATCTTTTATACTTAATGTGATTATTGATATGGTTAGTTTTAGTCCATTTTGCTTATTTTTTATTTTTTTTTTTCCTGTTTTGGGACTTCTTATTTGGAATAAACGGATATTGGTTGTAATTCTCTTTTTTTTTATTGTTGTTGGCTTATTACTTATAAGTGTTTTGTTATTAGTGTTTGCTTTAGGGCTTTTACTATGCATGGTTTATAGCATCACAGTCTCCCTGCAAGTGTTATATTCACTACTTCATGTATTGTATGGGAACCTTAAAATGGTATGCTTATGCATGTGTTGTAAGCACCAGTATGCATTGTTCTTGTTTAAAGTGTTACCTTTTAAAGAGCTTTAAATAATAAGAAAAACTCATGTATTTACAGATACCCATTTCCATTGTTCATTTCTTTGTTCAGATCTATTTACCAATTTTTTTCCTTCTTCCTGAAAGATTTCTTTTAACATTTCTTTTTGGGCAAACCTGCTGGTGATTAATTCTTTCAACTTTCGTATTGCTGAAAAGCCTTTATTTTGCTTTTTTTTTTTTTAAAGGAATTTTTACTGGATTCCTTTTTTTTTTTTTTTTTTAGATTTTATTTATTTGAGAGAAAGAGAGGAAGCAAGCACGATCAGGGGGAAGGGCAGAGAGAGCAGGAAGAAGGGCAGAGAGAGCTGGAGAAGCAGAGTCCCTGCTGAGCAAGGAGCACAACTCAGGGCTCAATCCCAGGACCTTGGGTTCATGTTTTGAGCTGAAGGCAGATGCTTAAACAACTGAGCCACCCAGGTGCCTTTTAAGTTACATCTTTTTAAGTACAGGTCTTCCTTGACTTAAGATGAATTACATCCTGATAAACCCATCCTAAGTTGAAAATACTATAAGCCGAAAATGCATTTAATATACCAAACATCATAACTTAGCTTAGGCTACTTTAAGTATGCTTAGAACACTTTCATTAGCCTACAATTGGGCTAACACAAAGCCTATTTTATAATAAAGTGTTGAATAGCTCATGTAATTTATTGAATGCTTTACTGAAAGTGTAAAATAGAATGGTTGTATGGGTACAGAATGATTTTACATGTATCAATTATTTATCCTGGTGATTGCATGGGTGACTGAGAGCTGTGGCTTTCTGCCACTGCCTGGCATCATGAGGGAGCATCGTACCACATACCACTAACCTGAGAAAAGATCATAGTTTGAAGTATGGTTTCTACGGAATGCATATCACTTTCATACCATTGTAAAGTTGAAAAATTGTAAGTCAAACCATTGTTAAGTCAGGACCATCTGTACATTAAATGTTACACCACTGCCTTCTCGATTGCATTGTTGCTGATGTTTTTTTTGCTGTCATCCTTTTTTTTCTTAAATTTTTAAATTTTTTAATGAAATGTGTCCTTTTTTTCCCTCTGGGTACTTTAAAAGTTTCCTCCATTACAGGTTTTGAGCTGTTTAATTACCACATAACTTGGCCTTTTCTTCATGGTTCTTGTGCTTGAAGTCCATTGAGCTTTTGGAGGGAATTTTTGTGTTCATAATTTTTATTGAATTTAGAAAATTTTTGGCCTTGTTTCTTAAAATATTTGGGTCCTTTTTTTTCTATTCACTTGATAGTTTCTATAGTTGTGTCATTCACTAATCTTTTCTTCCATAATTATAGTTGTGATGTATTTGTAGTCTCCAACATTATATTTATTTTATCTCTGCAAGTTGGTTAAATATATAGTCCATGTCTCATTTAATTTGTTGAATATATAGAATAGAGTTATAAAAATACTTACTTTAATGTCTTTGCTAATCCTGCATCTGTGTCAATTTATAATTGGTTTTGATTTAGATTTCTCCTCATTCTGGCTTGTATTTTCCTGCTTCTTTACATGCCTTGTGATCTTTGGATACTAGACATTTTGCATTTTACCGTATTGAGTGCTAGGTATTTTTGTATTTTTCTAAATTTTCTTTTGGGATATAGTTAAATCACTTGGAAACAGTTTGTTCCTTTTATGTCTTGATTTAAGATTTGTTATTTGGGCAGTGTTCAGTTAGGATAATTATTCCCCACCATTGCCTACACAAAACCATTCTGAATACTCTACCTAATGCCCAATGGATGTGAGGTTTTCAGTTTGGCTGGTGGGAACAGGAACTCTTCTTCACCCTCTTTGTGCTCTGGGCATTATCTCCTCTAATTGTGTTGGATGGTTTCTATACCTGACTTTTGTTTTCTTATAGTCCTGTGCTAATCAGTATTCTCCTGGAATACTTGATGGGCATCTTCATTGCAGGTCTTTCTTCTCAGGTACTTAGGCCTATGAATTCCAGCCACCTTGGTTTTGCTGGACTCTAGCACCATTTCTCAAATCAGGTAATCCACTCAGTTTTGCCTGGATTTCCTCCCTATGCCATTTTGAAAACTTACAGGGTGGTTTCAAACTGCAGCATTCATAGGGCTCTCTATCTGGTTTTCATTTGTCAGAGATCATGGTCTCTCATTGCTTGATACCAGGTATTTAGTAAGCTACTGTTCTATGTATTTTCACTGGTTGTTTGGAAGCAGGAGGGATAATCCAGTCCTTGCTACTTCATTTTAGCTGGAAGTAAAACTCCAATGATTGAAAGTCCAATTCACATTTGATTATGATTTAGAAAAGTATTTGAGTCTGATTTAAGTTATGCTGGTTTGCTTTAGATCTTAAGGAAAAATTGCACAGCGTTATATAAAATGAATCGAATACTAGATGCATACTGAGCATCTACTATAAAGTATCTTCATACCTTATATAAATAAACTAGTATACTATATAATACTACCATATTTAAACCTGCAGGAATTCCTGTCCTTTTTCCAGATGTTGTTTAAACGTATTTCAGGATTGTCACTTTGTGATTAGAGTAATAATTTTGTCAACTGTTAAGGTACCCAAACCCTTTTTATTTTTTAAAATATTTTATTTATTTATTAGAGAGAGAGAACATGAGCAGGGAGAGAGGGAGAGGGAGAAGCAGACTCCCTGCTGAGCAGGGAGCCAGAAAAGTGGGGCTCAATTCCAGGACCATGACCTGAACCGAAGGCGCCCCTACCCAAACCCTTTTTAACTCTTTCCCATTTTGTGAAAAACGACACTAAACTTTGTGTTAAGTCTTTTTTTTATAGTTCTCAAAGTATAGCTCCTGTTTGCTATTTTGCCTGTTACTTGAAAATCAGGTAAAGAAAAGAAAAAGAAAACTGCAAAATATGGTTTAATCTTTCAGATAGTAAGAGGAATATATGTTGATATGGCATATAAAAGCTTTCGTCACCTATAAAATGGGTATGTTATATACATTATGAAGGTTTGAAACCTTGAAATAAATTTCAAGGAAAAGCTAAGCTTTGAATTCTTTACAGAATGAATTTTTCACACACAACCCCCGCCCCCCGCAAGGTGGGGTGTGTTTTTGTGTGTTTGTATGTACAATTTGTGTGGCTAGAGAGGCATTGGCAAATAAAAGTCTGAGAAAATGTTAAAGAAAGCAGCTATATTAATGGGTTCTTCCTTTTGCGGGGGTTGGGGGGGGAGATAAACACAAGTGCAGGGATTTTTGTTGCATTGACCCTTCTGAGAAGTTATTGATTTGCTCATAGAATAATAATGCTACATGGACTCTTGATCTTACATGATTATTAAATACCAAGTATGTAAGTTTTAGATAAGAAGAAAGTCTTAATTATTGCCACTTTTAAGGTTATTTTTTTACCAAAACCTATAAATGTAACAAAATATATTTATGATGTGCTCAAGAGATCTTTGCAATGAAAATTTAAAAAAAGGAAATTGCTTTCAGGTCTTTGTCTGAAGCTATGTCAGTGGAAAAAATTGCTGCAATCAAAGCCAAAATTATGGCTAAGAAAAGATCTACTATCAAGACTGACTTAGATGATGACATAACTGCCCTTAAACAGAGAAGTTTTGTGGATGCTGAGGTAGATGTGACACGAGATATTGTCAGCAGAGAGAGAGTGTGGAGGACACGAACAACTATCTTACAGAGCACAGGAAAGGTAAAGTATTTCACTCATTCATTAGAGTGAGTATGTCCATCTAATCTGTGATTGGTTATAGAATTGGCTAAAATTTGCTATTAGGATCAGTTTTCAAGTTTTATCTCTGAAAGATCAGTAATAATGTAGATTTCTAAGTGGCCGTATTTACCGTTTAGTGGTTGGTCACTGAAGAAGCTGATGTAAATGTCTGAATCACAGTGCAAGCCCCTTGATTTGCACCTCATTTGTAAATCCAGCGAATAGCCCAGTTTCTTGTTGATCAGATTTTTGCTTTAACTTAATGAGGAGAGGGGATGGTGATGGCTAGCTGTGTGGTCATTAATATCATTATTTTTTTTCCCCACAAAGTAGACACTTAAGAAAATCAGCATTCATTTATTTGTGTATTTTATACATTATATCCTGTTGTGTGGATGTAGCAGTATTTATTCTTTGTTAGTGGCGTTAGGTGGTTTATTTGTTTTTGTAGCTATAGGATTGTGGAATTTTTTTCTCTCCCTTTTCCTCATTTCCTCCCTTTCTGTCTCCTTCCCTCTCTATTCACAATTACAAGTAATGTTTAAAAAACATCGTCATACATGTACTTTTGTGCATTTATGTGTATACAACAAAAATTTAATTCCTAGAAGCAAATTCCTGGTTAAAGGAGATGTGTACTTTAAATTTTGAAAGATAAAAATTTGAAAGATAGTGGATGTTTAAGTATCTTAATGCATCTCCAAAAAGATTGCTTTGGTTCTGTTTCATTTACATATTTTCATCTGTCTTTCCCTCACCTCCCAATTTTCTCTTAAATGTTAATTCTCCACTGATGTGCAGTTGTTAATATGTTATGGTAAGAGAGTGTGTAGAAGAATGTGAGGTTACCAATGAAAGTGAACTTTAACTTTGGTCAAGGTAGACTGGTTTTATTTGCAGATTCTGGATTCTGGTCTTAAATTTATTGTGCCATATTAGTAGGAATTGGGTTACTTGAAAAGAGCACATGAAAGAAAGAATTTTCGTCCTTTTGTACTTTGTCATATTTTACAAAGTACTTGAGGACAAGATTAAGACTCATTCCCCAGAGCTTAGAATTATAGAGAAATCTGAGAATATAAATAAACTTCAGTTTTTGTATTTACAGTGAAGTGATCTGTTGATACTCATTTTCACTGCGTAATATGGCTGATAGTTGAATATTGCAACTGCTAATGTTCTACCAATGTTCATTATGATAGCCAAAAAATTTGAATCTTATAGTAAAGGTATAAAAGATACGTGCTATGCTCCATCTTACTTTTGGACCAAACATTAAATTTTCAAAAAACTGAGATGAACAGTGTTTTTTGAGCCCTAGGTGGCAGGGTTTTACCATTATTTCAAAACTTAGTGCTCTCATTTAAGTTAGTGTTGTTGCCATCACAGGGTAATTTAAGAAATAAATTATAGTTTAAGAATTGTTTGGTAGCTAGGTTTACTTCTGTGATCATTAACATTTTTAAAAAAACAGAAACAACTGTTTTGAGTGATAGTTTTTCTGTATATGGTTTTCATTTTCTGAACACTAAATAAAAAACCTTTTAGGTACTCAGTCCTGATAGACCCTATGATTTTAGATAGATCTTCATTATTACCAGGGATTAGGGCCTTCTTACCTTCTAAATTTCTGGAATAAAAGGTTCATGAGAAAAATAAGTATGTTCCTTTACAGTTATATTATTATTGCAAGCAACCCACATAAAGCAACCTGATTTTATAATGCCATTAAGAATATACTTTTAAACTTAAATAAGTTGTTCCTTGTTGAAAAGTTGATTAAAAGAGATCATTAAAAGGAAGAGAATAATCACCTTTAATTTTTCCACACAAAAATCGCTGATAACATGGATCCTTCTAGATTTAGTGTCTCTTGCACTATATTATTTTTAAAGTATGAAATTTGATTTTCATATATTTTCAGTGATTTTCATAGTAGGATTAAGACTTTGTTTGCATTTGTGACTGTGTTGACTTTTGTACTGCTGGTGCAGAAGCAGTGGTTGGTTAACTCCTGGCATCTTGGCATGAATCAAGTTTTTAAAAATACTTCCCAATTTAAAAATCTTTTAAAAGTGTACAGTAACTCCTAACAAACAGTATTATATATATATATACATCTCATATAAATTACAGCAATCTGAGATTAGCACTGGAGTTTATTATATATATATATACACAATATATATGTATATATATGTTATACATATACTAAGAAGTATAGTAATTGATTTCTTTAATTATGGAGAAGTCTCTTGTGACAACAAATCTCATTTTTATTTAGGTAACTTGTTTCCTAGCTACATATTTGAATAGATGCAGAATATGAATATATTTATAGCCAATTAAACAGTTTAAGTAAGATGAAAATAAATGAATAACAGTATGTTTATAATAATTTGGTTTGGGGATCAGTTTTTAGTACTTCGATTTTTATTTGTGTGTATAGTAAAGAACACCTCAGTGATGTAGTAGGGAAGAACTAATAGGAAAAATACAGTCTGAAATTGTTTATTAAACAAACTTACTGCCTTGAATACTTAATTTTAAGTGGGCTAATTAAGATCCATTTATATTTTAGAATTTTTCCAAAAATATTTTTGCAATTCTTCAGTCTGTAAAAGCTAGAGAAGAAGGGCGTGCACCTGAACAGCGACCAGCCCCAAATGCAGCACCTGTGGTAAGAATGTGTTACTGCTTATATATTAGTTTTAATGAAAATGACTCTTTTTAGTATTGTAATTTTGAAAACATCTCATCTTAAAGTTTTTAAATCAGTAGCTTTTAAACTTTTTGCTGCTTCAGTATTCTTGAAATATGTGAAAATCTTCCCCACCGTTAACACATACACGGTGAGATCTCACCTAACACAAGTTAGATTGGCTGTTATCAAAAAGACAGGAATTAAGTGTTTTCAAAGATGTGGAGCAAAAGGAATCCTTGTGCACTCTTGGTGGGAATGTAAATTGGTGTAAGCACTAGGGAAAACAGCATGGAAGTTCCTCAAAAAAATTAAAAAATAGAACTGCTGTATGAACCAGCAATTCTACTTCTGGGTATTTATTTGAAGAAAACGAAAACACTAACTTGAAAAGATACATGCATCTTCACGTTCATTACAGCATTATTTACAATAGCCATGATGTGGAAACAAGTGTCCCATAGATGGATGAACAGATAAAGAAATTGTGTTACATACACACAATTGAATATTATTCAGCCATAAAATATAATGTAATTTTGACTTTTTGACTACATGGATGGACCTTGAGGGCATTATGCTAAGTGAGATAAGTTAGAGAAAGACAAATACCTTGTGATCTCTCTTATATGTGGACTCTAAAAACAAAACAAGCTTTATACAGAGATATAGACAGAGATATAGATAACGGTAGTTGCTAGAGGTGGAGGGTGGGTGAGGAGTGTGAGAAACAGGTAAAGGGGGTCAAAAAATAAACCAACAACAACAGTAACAATTTAAAAAACCCCAAGCAACCAAAACAGAAAAATAAAGTTACTTAAGCAATAATTCTTAGAGACACACTTGGGTTAGAATCTGAAAGGGGTAAATTAGGAAAAGCCCTCTGAGAAGTTGTGTAAAGTAAGTAACAGACCTATTCATTGTTGCTTGGGAGAATCCTTACCATTGTTAGAGATAAAAATCCCTATTACAGTCTGTTTTGGGGCTTTTTCTGAAATCATTGGTATCTGTGACTTCCTGGTGGATATGTTGTGTTTCTCCTGATCCCAGATCATTTGGTTCTTTCATGGTACCTTAGTTTTAGCCATTTGGAGAGTTGACTGCCTCACTCATTGAGTTGCCATTTAGGACCCCTCCAAAGTAAATTTCATGTATGGCATATAGCCTATATTTAAATTTAAACTCAAACATGTCCTCCAGTTATGTTGAAAATCCTTCCAGCTAGTTTTTTTTAAATCAACAAAGGAAATAAATGTAGATAAAATTGTTTTTATGTTATATAGGGTTTTTTTAAAGTATATTAAAATTTGAAAGTGCACCAACACAGTCTTTGCAAGATCTAGTAGTTTTGCTTGTTCATAAAATCATTGGTATTTAATTCTTAAGAGGTAGTAGACTTTTATTGGTATTTAGGTTAATACTTTGAGTTGACTTTCCAGCAAATACTTAAGTGCCTACTCTTGTCAGGCAGTGTGCTGACAAAAAAAAAAGAGATACCTGCCCTCTTTGAGCTTAAAGTCTAGTAGGACATAGAGATGAGTAAAAAAAAGTAGTGAGACAAATGTTGTGATGGTAAAACACAGGGTGCTTATAATTATGAATTGGTTGATTTGAATAGCAATTGGTAGGAAACATGTCAGATCTTAAAACATTTAAACCATTATCCTTGTGATTGAGTTTTTCCTGTATTTCTATAATCATTAAGATACATAAAAATTTTAATTTTGGCCTTTAGCTATAGTGTATACCTAGTGAGTGTCTTAAATTAACTATCTTTCTATCTTTTGTCTGGATTAATATGTAGGGTAGCATCCTGTTGTAACAAAATGAAGAGTACTTTAGTTTTTCTGAATACCATGAATTTCCCAAGCAGTTTTGGGAATGTTCTTTAAATATGCTTTTTTAGATTATTATAGACTGAATTTTACTTTTTTAAGAATTTTTTTAAAGATTTTATTTATTTGACAGAGCGCAAGCCAGGGGGTAGTGGGAGAGGGAGAATCAGGGAGCCCAACGTGGGGCTCGATCCCAGGACCCTGGGATCATGATCTGAGCCGAAGGCAGATGCTTAACCAACTGAGCCACCCAGGTGCCCCAAACTGAATTTTAGATAAAGTATTTGTGAATGAAGTTTACAACATTAGATTGACAGCTTATTCTAAGTGTCTTAACAAGTAACACCTTTATTAGCTTCAGTCTTATCTTGTGCATTTATAATGGGTTTATTTCATAGTTGTCATTTATTTAAGTATTAATAACAATTTGGAGAATAATTCTGTTAAATGCTCTAAAATGTCAGTTCAGTAAGCTTTGAATTAAGGTTTTTTGTTAAAAACAATTCATAATTGGGGGGTTTATTATTTCATGAAGAAATTTAAGTACTTAAAATGAAGTTATTAAGCACACCTATTTTATTTCTCCAGTTTGTAAGAGTTTTGCATTTTGCCTTGATACAAGTTTATTTGGAGTCCTTTGCCTTGTCCCTGATAGCAATGGTAATTTTCTACCAGTAAAAAAAAAATTGAAAATAAGCATCACATGACTCCCACTTTTGTCTTATTGGCTATTGTAAGAAAAAAAGTTTAGAAAATAATACACTTCCTGTGATTTTTATTCTGAGTTTTAGGTAACAATTTAAAATGTTAATATGTAACTCATTAATTTTTCTGCAGGATCCCACATTGCGTACCAAACAGCCTATCCCAGCTGCCTACAACAGATATGACCAGGAAAGATTCAAAGGAAAAGAAGGCAAGTTACTTAATTTTTATATTCCCCTTACTGTGGTGGTGCTGAATGTGAGATGTGTGTGATGTTTATGAGCAGGTGTTGGCAAACATCTGCAGGCCAAGTCTGGCCCAACACATGTTATAAATAAACTTTTGCTAGAACACGGTGGCATTCATTTATGTATTATCTGTGATTCCTTGGTGCTGTGACAGTAGTGTTGAGTTGTGACAGAGATTGTGTGGCCTGCAGAGCCTTAAAATACTATCTGGTCTTTTCCAAAATAAATTTGCCAACCCCTGGGTCTCCTGGGTGGCTCAGTCAGTTAAGTATCTGACTCTTGATTTCAGCTCAGGGCATGATCTTGAGATTGAGCCCCGCGTTGGGCTCCGCAATGGGTGTGGACCCCTCTCTCTCTCTCTCAAAAAAAAAAAAAAAAAAAAACTCATCCCCCAATGATGGGTTGCGCTCTCTCTCTCTCTCAAAAAAAAAAAAAAAAAAAAAATTGCCAACCCTTGGTTAACGGCATGGATTCTGGATCCAGATTTCCTGTATCACAGTTACTTTTTGCGTGAATTTTGATAAATTAACTGCATTCTGTTTTAATTTCCTCTTGTGTTTCATTGCAGTACTAATTATAGTAGTAGTATCTATCTTTTAGTTTCATTGTGGGGACGAAACTAGTTAATAATGTGTCTAGAATAGTGACTGGAATATAATAAGCTATTTATAAGTATTTCCTGTTATTAATATTCTGCTTCTCAAAAGTTCAGACTGGAGAGTCTGTATATCAAATCATGTTTCTGAAATTATAAAGGTATACATTGAGAACTTGGGAAGCATAGATTTTAGTAACTACGTGAGGGCTTACTTGGGGGTAGCTTACATGGTATACTGGCTAATGCAGTAGTGAACCATTTCCATGTTACTGTGGTGGTTAGTGAAGTGCACTAATATTGTAATTTCTCTTGGAATCTTCATTTATCTTGATTTGTGGAAAAAGATGAGGCAGAAGCACTTGAAAGTTTAACTTTTATGATTTTTTTTTCCTGCATAATCTGAAATCTCCACTTCAGTTTAAGTTTAATTAAAGGATATATTGCTTCTGTATAGTGAATTTTGTGCGCTCATTTCATTTACTGGTTAAAGGCATGTACTGTGAATACATGCTGTAGAAATACAGTGGTTCATTCTTTTATTCATTGCAGTGTTTCTCTTGTGGAATGAATTATGTAAGGTAGGGTTTGGCAGATTACAGCTCACGGACCAAATCCGATCCTCTGTGGGCCAAATCAGGCCATGCCCATTTGTTTATATATTTTATTTATCTTGCTTTTTCACTGTACCTGCAAAATCAGTAGTTGTGATAGAGACATATAGCTTGCAATGTGTAAGATATTTAATGTATTTGTATTCATGTAATATGCCTTTACAGAAAGGCGTATTGAGACTCTGTCCTGGAACCTTTATCACTATTTATAGCATTGCTTTTCTACAAATTATGTAACATATGCCTGTGATTGTAATTTTGAAACACAAGTTTTTATAATTTAAAGCCTTCTCATGATAACTAGAAGCTTTTCGTGCTAATGTAATTGAGTATTAGAAGTAAATAATTTGGAGGTTATAAAGTATTTTATTCAGTCTAATTTTTGATACTCCCAAAATATCAAAACTTTTGAACACAATTGTAGAAATTAGTCTTAAGCAACTTCTATAAAAAGGCCTCTCTGGCATGTATTGAATGTATTTTTGGGACGAGTATCCCTTTTAAAGTTTTTATTTTCATAGGTATGTAATTTAATTCTCTATGTATAGTACATTTGCTGCTTTGTTATACTATTAACTGTCAGATTATAACACAGATTATTACTTTAGGTTTGTTATTGATCATGAAATACATAAAATCTAATAGCAAACCCCCTTTCTTTGTAGAAACGGAAGGCTTCAAAATTGACACTATGGGCACCTACCATGGTATGACACTGAAATCTGTAACGGTAAGTCACTTTGGCTGCAGAGGTTCTTTTGTTCTAGGCATTTAATGTGTGTGGCAGATGTTGAAGAGAATCTTTGTTCTCCATTATTTTCTATTTCAAATGTTTATCTTTAATGACTAATTGTGCAGATAGATCTGTACGTTGATTTATTTGATTTGTGGATATCCTTTTTTTGGTTTAACTGAGTTGAGTGTTTAAATAAAAGCTGTTTTGGTTAACTTGCAAGTAGGATGGATGCTACCTGGTTAGAGTATAATGCCAGTGAGGAGTTACAAGGTCCAATTTGGGAGAATTATTTTCCGTACTATCTTATGTTCTTTAAAATGTAATGCCTTATGCTCTTTAAAAAAACAGATTGTAATGGTTGATGTAATATTTACAAAGTGCATACTTGCCAGAACCAAGTACTTGGATGTCCACAGTTAGAAGCATTTGGCTCACTTTTGGCAGACTTTCTTTCATATAAATTTCTGGATGTTCTGATTAGGCCATATTTAACACTTAATTTTTATTTAGTCAGTGATAGGACTTGGTAATGTAGGGCAGGAATTCTGTTAACCTTATTTTGAATATATTACAGATTATTATTATACTTTAAAATACTATGTGTATGTATTAGAGTACCTGTATATTTTAAAGCTAATACCAAACTTACTTTGTCTTTGTTTACGAATCATCAGATCTTTGAGGACTCAATATGACATGGAATCATCATATATATTTGCTGTGATTTTTCAGAATTAAGATATATCTTGTCATGCTTTTCCAGAGCAGATAGCAAATAAATGTGGAGAATCTGATACTAAAAGTTGACCTTTTTTTTTTTTTCCTGGACTTCAAATTGGAATTGAGTATTAGATATTTTGCTAATACACTTGTTTTTAAGTTGTCATCAGATTTGTTTTTGTATGATTGAAATTGTATATGAGCTCATTAATTCATTTAACAAGTGCTTATTGAGCACTTGTGGCAGACCCTGTTCTAGTTGCTGGGACTGTAGCTATAAATAAGATAGACAAGGCTTCTGTAGAGAGAGTCATCAGAGAGGCCTCTCAGCAGGTGACTATTGAGCACAGACCTTACAGAAAAGCATTCTGTGGAAGACATTCAAGGGTCAAGATTGAGGCCCAGTAGAGTAATAGTGTGAAGGCCGGTATCCACAGCATAGTGAATGAGGGGAAGGTGGTAAAAGATTAGATAACACTCATCTTATGAGATCTTCCTAGTTCTTCCTGACTTCCAAATGTAGCTAATGACTGTAGGATTAAATTTTTAAAAGATTCATTTATTGACATTTTCTTGGGAATAGAACTTGCCCACTGGCCATTCCTTAAGTGAATTATCATGGAACTGTAGTTGTTATCCTTAGGTAACCATCAGGGGGAGTTTTTTGTGGTTGTGGTTGTTGTTTTAACTTTTGTCTCATCTGAAATGCCATGAAATTGGTTTCATTACTGAGCTTCTTTGCAAATAGTAAAATTAGTGATACTTTTTATAGTGATGCTTTTTACGGAACAGTTTTTCTAAAATCCAAGGACAGCTTCTTAATTAAACAGAGAGATAGGACTACTCTGATTCCTCATTTTTTTTTGCTTCTAAATATACTTACAAGAGAGACAAATTTAAACAAATTTATGGTGTATGTTTTTACAGAAATAATCACATAAAGACATTGTGTGGGAATGTCAAATTGTTGGTACTTTCTATATTTTAATACCCTGTTTGAATCTCTGTACTGTTTGTGACGTGATTCATTTTAGCAGTTGTTAGAGAGTACATGCGGAGGTTTGAACTTGAAAGCTTTGAAGTTGGTCTGATAATTGTTTCTTTTTACTTGAATCTCAAGCTTATGCTTCCAGTGTAATGTTTTTTCCTTGTCTCTTTTCTTTTGGAATTATTACCTATTTATGAGCTTGTGAGTTTCACCAACTTTGTCTTATTCGCCAGTGAAGATTTCTCTTGTGATATCCACCCAGACACACAAAAGCAGTTAAATGTATGTTAAAAGCTTTGTTGCCCAGATGTGACTTCCTTTCTAGTTTACATATGAGCTCATTTTAGGTGCCACTGTTTTTCAGGGTTTTGACATGTTTAGTTGATCTACATAGTTACTAAAATTAGTACCAATCTATATTAGGATTGGTGTATATATCTTTTAAGTTCAAGACACCAGAGTCTTAGTCTTATATCTAACAGGACTCTGGTTAGATATAAGATTAAGTTAATCAAGTTGTGCAGATGGCTAGAAAATTTTTATGTAATTGATTTTTTGTCTTCATTTTTTAGAGAGAAAGGAGTATGTGTTTTGACAGTATTTCATAAGAATCTTAAGTTATTGGAATTTATAAAAAATTAAAGCTCTGGTAGGGTATTAGGTGATATTTGTTTATGAAGATAATTTATAGAAATTTAGTATATGAATAGAATCCCAGGTATCTTTAAAGTTACGAGTTTGTATTGTTAAGTCTGGTTACCTTTTGACTTAGGCCAAGAAATACAATGGCAGAAGACATGGATGTTGGAGTTGCTAAAGGGCTTTTCCGAGTTGGTAGACTTTCCCCAAAATGTGTTAGTTGGGTTGTATAATGTTTAAGAAACACTAGATTAAACAGATTTTGTGGTATAGGAATTTCATCATTTTTAATATATGAATATCTAAATTGGAAGACAAGAGTATGCGCTTTTTGCCAGGCTTGTTTGCCCCTTTTCTCCCTCCTTTTGAGAACACTGGAAAGAACTAGAATTGTGTAGAATTAGTTTAAGTGAAACTATCTTAGTAGTTACGGGTTGGGATTAGAAACCGTTTAGGGAACACCAGAATGTATTTGCATGGATCCCTTTTGTGAAAGGAGCCATCTTAGACGAATAAAGTGCCACTTGACAGTGCTTTTCATTATATAGAAAAGAAGAGGAGATGATGAAGACTTTTCTTTGTTGGCAGAGAGCTTACCTGTGGTTCCACTGGAGAAGGAATAAAAAGATAGATCACAGTTCACTCTTGTTATTTGTGAGGATTTGATAATTGAATTGAGAACTACTTCATTTTAACCTCCCGATCTAGCTTATTAATGTTCAGGTAGGAAGGTCACATAATCTAGCCCCTGTTTATTCTTTTCTTAGTTCTTACTGAATATCATTGACTCTCAGTTACCTTGCTGTCTTCATTTTTGAGGAAACATTTTACACTCTGAAATTGTGCAGATCAAAAGCTTTCCTTTAAGATTGTTCTTTGAGTTGACTCCAACAGAATTGTAGTTTTTAATAATAAGCCTTTTTTTGGGGAGCCATTTTCCTAATAGTAAGTACAGTTGGATGGATATTCAGTATCTACATTAGAGGTGTAATCACCATCAACTTTCACTATTTAGTAAAATCCAGAATCTCAGTCTCTTAATTTATATAAAGTTATATTCTTAAGCAGGAACACATTTATTAGTAACTTTGCAGCTCCCCTGTTTTATAAAGTTTCCTTCATTCTCATTTGGTTGTTAATTAACTTGTTCATCTTTGCTTGGGGTGTTATGGGAGTGCTCTAGTAGCAGTAATGCTCTAGAGTTGTGTCTAGAATCTAAGTTAGCAGAAGAGACAGTTGATTAAGACTTTAGTAATAAACACTCTCCTTTCCTTTTCCTTCAGCACATATTTTTGAGTGCTTATTGGAATGGTTATTGTGTAGATTTTAAGGGTGCCTATGGGAAATTTTCTTCCCTTCCCAGAGTTAGATGCAGCCTGTCTGTTTATAAATGCTAGTGCACTGACATCATATGCCTCTCTTAGCATACTTCTGGGATCATTCATTGTGCCAATCTAAATGTGGTCCCAAATGTTTTATTAGGCATCCACTGTCATTTAAATTTTATTTTATGCACTAAGATTTAAAAATAAAAGTATGTCACAAAAACAATCTGGATTTTCAGCTTCTTTTGAAAAGCTATCTGGCATGACTGGGTACTGGGTCTATAGTCTAGTAAGAGTCACACTGATCCAAACAATGACTGCCTTTAGATGGGATGTTTTCTGTAGGTTGCCCATAGGCCTCACTGCTCTGTTGTCCTTGATCTATTTATTTATTCACTTATTTATACAGTTGACCTTTAAACAACACTGAGGTTAGGGGTACTGACACCCCCTACACCCTGCAGGCAGTTGAAAATCTGCATATAACTTTTGACTTGCCCAAACTTAACTACTAATAGCCTACTCTTGACTGGAAGCCTTGCGGATAACATACAGTCTATTAACACATATTTTGTGTGTTAGATGTATTATAATAATAAAGAAAAAAAAAGAAAATAAAACATTTGGAAATAAGAGAAATACATTTTTGATACTGTACTATAAAAAAAAATCCACATATAAGTGCATTTTGCAGTTCAAACCCATGTTGTTCAAGGGTCAATGGTACTACCTTCTTAGACCCTACTGGCCTTTCAGTTTGAAATTCTGGATCTAAAGGCAGTGTTATATTGTTAAAGAGAAGGTAATCAGTTGAAAGCACTACGTATTTAAGGGTTCGAAGTCAGTTCTGGCTTTGAATCCCAACTCTTCCACTCATTATGCCACTAATGAAGGTGAGATTATTTAACCTTTCATTGAGTGATCTTGTTTTTATTTTGTAATAAAGATAATAGAACATATCATAGTCTTGTTGAGGACCAGAAGAGTATATAAAATGCTTAGCTCAGGGAAGACTCAAATAAATGATGGTTACTTTTATTATGAATTTATAATTTTATATATAATCTTACTTTGACTTAGGCGTAAATGTAGGCAACTATAGCTTCACAGATATATTTAATATTACGTGTTTAATGATGCCATGTTCATTCAAAATTATGAAGACCAGTTTATTTAAATGTTACGAAAACTCTTTTCCTCTTCAGTAATTGGGATATTTTTACTGTGGCTGTGTATGTTTATCTTAGTGTTCTTTATCCCGTGAGAGAAAATTGTTGCAAAGAAGTTATCATGTGGTGGGTAATAACTTAGCTAGGTTAGGC